GAACTTCCTCTAGTGTGACCCTAAGTGACACTACTTTCTCTTAGCATGTCATCATCCCTATTTTATCCCCAACCCCTCGAAAAAGTACAAAATTAAACGTAAATTACTCTCTATAAAATCGTTATTGCTCAGACAAAGCATAAGTTTTATAGCCTTCAATTTTGTTTGGTTACAGAGTTATCGAACAGAAAATCAGACCCCTTTTGCCACACCCTCTCTTTCAGAATTCATTGATAGTTCTCTCTTATGTTTCATTATATATTTCCTATAACCAATAGGAAGTCAAGGTTTTCATCTGTTCTGAATAGTTAGATGTATGTTTCACTTAGAGTACCAATCGTTCTTGTGGAAAAGTTAATGACTAGCTTGAATGAATTTGTAACGGCTCTTGTCGCATAGTTAGAAAGCCAGGGAAATTTTAAGAGGTAAGTGAATTTTTCTATTTTTTTGTATGTTATTAGTCTATATTCTTTAGTACATAATTTAATTAAATAAAAATTATTATGTACATTACTATCTATAGTATAAAAAATTAGGGTTAACTCTCTTCGAAAACTGACAGCAAGAAAAAAGAAGATTGGTTAAATATTTTATTTCTTGTTTTTCATATTTATTCTTTATGTATAATTATAAAAGTAATTAAAATGTAAAAATAGGGATCCTTTTAGGTTTGTTAAGATCAGATAATAGAAATAATAATAGTATTATAATAAAAATGTTTCACAAAGAACACATGCAAGCAGCTCGTGGGTAATGTAATTTGTTAACAGAAGTGATTTACAACTTATAATGGTGTGGATAGTAGTTTGACAGGTTCAAAGGGCAATAAAACAATAAAATTTAATTATTAATAAATGTATACTGTTACGAACTTAGAGCAACTTAGGATAAACAAATGTAGTTTTATGATACAATCTGAAGTCATTCTAGAGAGAAAAAAGAAAATTTAGGCTTATTTCGATTTTTGAGGTTACAACGTCAGTCAAACTGACCGATCCTGTTTTGAAATAGGGTAGAGAAAATAACAGATAAACTATAAAGTTTTACTCAAAAAAAATGTTTGAAATGCATTTAGGAGGTTTTAGGGATTACACAAAGGAAATTTGAGATTTTGGATATGAGGAAATGTATTTTTAATTTTAACATGAAAATTACTTTGCATACAGACTATTATAAAGAAACTCGATATTTTCATGGACAAATCTTTATTTTATTAAAAATACTTCATTAAAAAACATGATTTTTTGTATGTGAAAGACTTATAATATTAACTGAAAGACTGCCAAATTTTGTGAAAATATACACACTATATTGAAAGTTAAAAGTATTAAATCTATAAAGACTTTAAAAAAGTACAAAAAAGGTCACGTGGTCAGTCAAAGTGACTGAGTCTATGTTGAGAGAGTTAATGAAAACTAACAAAATCAAAAAATTAAAAGCCTTTGAAGTTTCATCTTTATGTTTATATTGTATTTTCAGATTTCTATATATTTCTTAAACACTGATCTTTATTTTAATTTTGGCAATATATTTAAAACAATAAGAAGTCTGGGTCTTGTAGTGGTACAAAAATTGATCAAATATTATTTCTGTAAACTATATCATGAGAATGAGCATAATCAATTTTCCAATAAATATTTACTTAAGTGATAACGGCAGCACTTGAAGTATTGGATAATCAAGTTACCCTGAGAATAAATAGGTCTTACAAAAAAGAAAGAAAAAAAAGAAAAAAAGAATATTTTTTAAAAGTGGTTTCTCTGGTTACCATATTTAAAATCAACTAAATTAGCTTCTAATCCCCTTTCCACAAGTACTATATCTTAGACTATTAATTTAACTGTGGATATTAGTACACACAGGGATACATTTAGCCTCATTTACTCGTGCTTATCGCAAGGTCAAGATATGTATTTCTTTATATGGAATGTCTAAATTATTACTGCTTAAATTTGATGATAGCTTTCATGCAATTGCACTTATACTTTTGCACATATTTTACATATTTAAGCTTGTTAAGAAAGTGTGAAAAAAGAAGGAATCACTTATAAATCTAGAGAAAAGTATCCATAATTTTCTCAATAACCCTAAGGCATTACATTTTTCATTTTCAATCTGTTAAAAGTTTCTAAAACAAATAATTGGCTGCATATTTTTTTGAAAATTTTTGCACTTACCCAAACAGTTAAGTGGTTCTCTGCACTCTTTGATCGCTGATGCCACAAAGGTACCTGTTAACAAAACTGTTGTGTATCAAATGGCTTTAAAAGATGCATTTTTCAGATTACGAGTAAATGTACAGCTAGTTAAATATGAAAAAAAATAGCAACAAGTACTTCTTACTACTGGTAACTAGTAGACTTCTACTTCTTTTGATGCAGCTACATTTAGATCCTCTCATAACATGGTGATAGCTACTTATGCCCGAAAATTTTTGTAAATGGATACAGTTACCAGTATACTCATCTTCAATTATACAACTGCACTGATACTTGGTGCTTACTATCATTGATCACAAGTACTTTATTTAATATCATTTAAGTTTCTTTATTTAATGTAATAAGTTTTTAATTGTTATGTTTTAGTTACTTTCATAACAATAAATAAAAAATATATATAAAATCCAAAAAAAATTAGACTAGCGACTCGTCTTTCTTCAAGCTCTTGCACAGATATAATAGTAATGTAAATGTGGTCTCAGAATTTTTTTTTTTTTTTTATATATATATATATATATATATAAATTCAAACATGCAACTTAGAATACAAAATACTGACTTCCATATAAAATAAAATGTCCTAAAACTAATATAATTCATCTGATTTTCTAACTAAGCTAGAACAGGCTTAAACAATTCTTATACCTGGTCAAGCAGAGCTCCAACAATGGTAAGTAAAGAAAACATCATTAAAATATTCAGATCTGTTTAATCCATGGGCTTGAAGCCCCATAGCTGTCAGTAAATTGAAATCTTTATTTTCTGCTAGTTACAAATAATTCAATAGCAAATGTCAGAGATAATTTTTGAAAGCAGGACGTTCTACAGAATTCAAAAATGAGCAAGTGAAGATTAAAAATTTATTTAAATATTTCCTTTTGAAATTAAAAAAATAAAACTTGCATAACATTAAAAGTTGAATTATAAACTACATTTTGGTGCCAGATTTATTGATTTACATTAATAACAAAGTAGTTTAATTGTATTTTGAAGGTAATTCTGTAAAGAGGTCATGACGTGTACTTTGACCCACCCATTCTGAATAAATAAGTAAATTGACAAAAAACAACAAAAAAATTATATAAAAAATAAGGAATTAAAGTCATGGGTCACATATGCTCAAAACTGAAGCCAATTTTGGCTGATGAACACTTGTTGTTCAAAGGAAAAGAATGCTGATTAGAAACCACTACAAAATTTTATGTTATAAACAAAGAGTGTGGGAAGTTTCTAAAACCTTTGGATATTTAATCAAGAACTAGTTTTTCAAAAAACAGTTGTAAACAGAGTTGCCATACACAAAATAAAGCATCTGTATACTGTTACATATGAACACTGACAGTGGCATGTGGAAGTTATTTAATAGACTTGCAAATGTTACACAATAAAAGTCATGGTTGAAAAACAACAGAAACTGTTCCAAATGCTAGTTAAGTAAGAAAACAGATGATA